CAGATGTTTCTAATTATTATGAGAATTTCTTGGATTTATCTTTTTTCTTAGCGCATCTGGTGAGAGTTAACGTGGTGCCTCCGATGGAGCCTCTAATTAATATTATTAGTAAGATTCTCACAAAACCCGTAATACCTACTAACGTCAGCAGAATGAGATCAACAGTGCTCCCACCATCGCTGCTTTGCGGGTACTGATTCTTCGAATTCTCCTTTATTAAGGGAGGAATCACCTTTGAAAATCAAAACTATGATTCTGCTACTTGATAGTTTATTTGAGCACTGTAACTTTAGTTGTTCTTGTCGTAGTTTATGCAACCTAAATATATTTTGGTAATGACTTCTTTACGAGAGTGCGTGCTCTTGCACGCCGGCACGCACGCGTCGCCCTCTCCGTACGCTCAAAATCCGACGTGCAGCGTTTCTCCAGCCCCCACCTGCTCCTAGCCCGCTGACTCCACTCAGACCGCTCCTCTTCTCTCTCTCTCTCTCGCTCTCTCTCCTCCCGAATCCATCGCCGTGACCGGGAGGTGTCGGGCATTTCCATCGTGCTCCGCGATGGCGCCAACATCTCCCACCTCACTGGCATTTCCATTTCACTCTTTGGGGAGATTCGTGGGCGGGTAGATTGCTGTGGCACGCGATTTGTTCTCTCGGGGAAGGATTTAGGGCGGATTAGGGTTTGCTGTCTGTGTACTCTGCGCTATCTGGTTGGTCTCAATTCCCGGTTAGGGTATGGGTTCCCCTTTGTTGGCCGCATCGCAATATGTGGATGCACCTTTTGCATTGTTGTGCAGTGAAGCACTGTATCTCGTAGGCAGATGTATCCGTATGTTCCAAGTCTACACGTTACTAATTCAGTTTACCATGAATGAATGTTTGAAGCTAATTACTGTAGTGTGTACATGTATGCAAAATCGTTTGCAGGATTAGTCTGAAGGTTCTGTCATACTACACGGGCTACGTACGTGTTTCTGCTGTTTGATGCTGACCACTAGGTTTAATTTTAATTTTAATTTTAATGTCCTTCGTTTTTGATATAATCCTTATTGAGCACCCGTTATACTTTTTTTTTATTAATAATAGGAATGTTTTCTTTAATTTTGTCACAAGGGATCTCAACCTATAGGCGTAGTAGGAAACCAGCGCCTCATCTGATGTGACGCACACAAGGGCTCCCGGTCGGCTGATCACATCTTTGATTGCCACGGATGCATACAAGCCGACTGCACGGGAACGCCAGGCCTCGGCTCTCCGTCAACGGTGTAAGCAGCTCTTGCTTGGTCAGCTATGGAAGATTGGAGCGGACGCACTTATCAGCAGCACCAACTGCCGCATGGGCAGGTTGTGCGCGAGCCGGACGAACACGGGCGATGTGTTTAGCAGCTTGGTCATGATCAACACCTCCTTCACCTATCAACAGGCGAAACTCCCGCGGATCACCGCGTGCAAGTCGTCCTCTATTGTTGAGAAACTAATATGATTTTCCCTATTCTTGCACAACCCCATGTTTCCTGACAAGGACACCATCGAGAACGGCCCCACATCTACCTCCATATAACACTACGCCACACACCGGGTGATGTCGAGATAAGTACGATGCCATCTGCAATGGCTCATACCCCAATGATGCCACCACACAAGAAGGCGATGCTACACTGCTAGCCGACACCAACGAGGTAGACAACGCTACACCAACTATCTACCGGTGAACACCGATGAGGAAGGCGTCACTACACTGACTAACTACCAACGAACACACCTGAGGAGGAAGGCAACGCTACACCAACTATTGCCGGTGGACAGTGACAAGACAACAGACGCTGCATCGACTCCATATACTTCCACACTACACCAGGCGGCGCCGATGTGATGACAACGCGGGCTAGCGGGTTGACGTTCCATCTGTGCCAAGCCAACTTTACCTACTTTGATAAGCATGCACTACTCGGCACCGATGAGCTAGGTGGACGACATCTGTGCCCCAACCCCTAACAAAATTAGGGTAAAATACAAACATCAAGAAAATTCATCAACTGCTAAACGAGGTGACTATTTCCATCTAGCACTTGAGCATATGCATGGAGGAAAGCGAACTCCGGCTATGCACCGGCCAGCACATCGACGGGATGGAAGGATGAGTGCGTGTGCCAGCATCATGAGTACTACGAGGAGATCTAGATCAAGAAAGGGAAGGTGGGATAGAGACAGGCCACCGGTGCCACGGCGTCCGACGTCCATGACATCTACATATTAACGGCAACAGCGGCCACACCTATAGACTAAAGATATGACCATCTTGCTAGATCCCATAACTAAAATTAATTTGTCTCCTACGACGTACATGATATGATAATTATTGACCATAGGTACAGTTTACGTTTTGATTTTAACGTTCTTGGATTACTTCGGACAAATAAGTTTTGATATAATCCTTATTGATGTATAATTTTTAAATTAACTTAGTTATAATGTTTCTTTTGAACCATCGGCAGGAGAACCCGCTACTTTTTTTTTGTTTTTTAACCCAGCCAAGAGAAATTTGTCCTGAGGGGGATTCGATCCTAGCCTGCTAGGGTGCTACTGTAGAGCTCCAACGTAACTTAATAATAATGTCACTGAATTACCTTGAATTACATAGTAATATTGCTAAAAAATTATAGGACCATGATATGTGCACTTATCAAAAAAAGCCTATATGGAAAAATTCAAACCTCCACAAATATAAAAGATAATTAAACTAATCCAATAAATATTTTTTAATAAAATTATTCATATCTATTAATTGTTATGAAAGATAATGCTTTGGTGCCTAAGTTTACATTTAAATTACCATGAATGGCATTATGAAAGATAATGTAAAGTAATATATACCTATATAATTTGTACCTAAATTATCCACCTCTCAACCGTTTATAAAAAATAAACAAAAAACCCTCAAATATGCATGTAAATGCTAATATAAGCTATTACCAATAATAATTCAGCATCCATAAGTTAAAACTTACATTAGTATTAATAATTATTTTCATAGGCAAGCCTGGACATATATCCTTAGGAAGCTACGTAGTAGTGACACTTACAGGTAATTTTAAGTTGTATTAACACTCATGATGACAAAAATTCTAAGTTGTCTTGAAAAAAGTTTGAACATTTTTTATGGAAACATTATGTCATATGAATATTAGTAACTGAATATTTAAAATTATTTGATTAATAAAACAATAATAATACGAAACAATTTATGACATTCTCAAAACTAAGAAGACAACCTAGGACCTAGAATAGTATTTTAATAAAATAAAACATGAAAATATTACATGTAAAAAATATTACAACAACTAGATCAAAAACTAAAGGTTAAAGTGTAGATTTTCATTATATCACGTAAAGAGATGAAATAAAAGTTTATACACTTTAAGTAAAATTCTGTTCCAACTAAATACATATGGTGTTAAAAACTTTAGTTGTACAAATTGTTACTCACAAAAACAATAGACAAAAAGGTAGATCCTAAAATTCTTAAAAAAATCTAAAATATTTTGCCATCAATTCGGTAGACTATAATCAACATTGTAAATAATAGCTATTGTATCTGAGGAATTAATAAATTTAAAATTCAAGGAAAAGAATCAAAATTTAGATTTATATCGAGAAAATAGACACTGCAGCTATAGTTTGAGCAAATGTTTCGACTAAATGTATATTGGAGATACACAGAGAGGTGGTATGTAAAGAAAAAAAAAATGGATATGGAGGAAAAAACATATAAATTCACAATTGAATATGGACTATAGAGTACCTATTATAGCTATTATTTTAGAATATTAGTGAAGATAAAAAGATATTTACTATATGTACTTTTTTTTAGTGTCTCATAATAATATTCTAACCCGTGCAAGAGCACGGTGAACTAGTATTACTATAGTTGTATTAGACGTTGAGCCCATGGCCATTGTGGAGATTTGTAGCGTCCGTATGCCGTCCGTCTACGGGAGTCGTTCTTCTTTGCAGGCATGCTCTTGTGCGTGGGTCTGGGGTGGGGTTCTCTTCTCTCGATATGCTGAGTGGCAAATCTCCCTGCTGTGTGATGAACTGCTGCCCTGCCCTGGCTTCTAGTTACTGTATTGTTATCACAGCGTTCCAACTGCTCAGCAACAATGATCACGATCGAGGACACGTGAATGGTCGACCCTTGCATATATACTCTAGATAGTATAAACAGTAACGCGCCTTTGGAATATTGATGGCAATGCTTTGCCTAGTCGTCTGATTGGTTTCAACGTCATTCATGACGCACATAGAATGTAGTAGATCAAGCCACAAGTTTCAGACCCCAGGCCCCAGCCATTCACATTCGCAACTAACAATATGGCGAGTCACGTTGCTCATTTATACATCACACTGCAAAAAGGTTCCCAAGGCGCTATCCCTTCAAAATCAAATGATCCGTCGTATATTCGTATTCAGTTCGTACGTTGAGGAATTGAAAGCAACAAGATCGAGTGGAATTGAAAGCGATCGGCCGGCCGTCCTGCATATATGTGAAGCTGCATCAAATCATTGGTGCTTCCTGGCGGCTTTCGCTTTCCATGTGATGGATGAATCAGCATCACATTATTGAGCCAGTAAATCCAAGCATGTGGAGGATAGCAAAGGAGACGTACTACTGGATCGAGTAGGTTGCTGTTGGCGTTGAAATTAAATTGACCATGCAACAAGGCCACCAGCAATATATCTCCATGCTCTTGGAGCTATATGTGGAGCATTAGCCGAGCGCAGCCACCTTGAAACCACACCAGTATGTGAAATCCTTCACCTTCAAACCACACCCCTGCAACCTTGGCCCTGGCCTTGTGCCAAGAAGGAGATCAATGGAGCTCGTGTTGGGAGCACTGCCAAGCCTCATCCCCAAGCTCGGTGAGCTGCTTGCCGACGAGTACAAGCTGCAGAAGGGGGCGAAACGGGAGATCAATGTTCCTCCGAGATGAGGTCGAGAGCATGAAGGGTGCTCTTGAGAAGATCTCTGAGGTTCCACCTGACCAGCTTCCTAGTGGGGATAAGATTTGGGCCAGGAATATAAGAGAGTTGTCCTATGACATAGAGGACAATATCGACACATTCATGGTGCAAGTCAAGGGCCATCATCAGCCGGCCAAAAAGCTTGGCTTCGCCATGCAGTTCGGTGAGAAGATCCTTGGTCCCTTGATGCAGCTCAGGATTCGCCGCAAGATTGCTATTGACATCAGAGAAATCAGGGGCCGTGTTGTAGAGGTGCACGACCGGCGCCGCAGGTATGAGGTTAACTACAGTGTTGATAAGCCTGTCAAAGTTGACCCTCGTGCATTGGTTCAGTATGAGAAGGTGACCGAGCTTGTTGGCATTGAGGAGTTAAGAGACAAGGTGATCAAGATTTTGATGGAAGGAAGTGAGGTGTCCAAGGAGCAAGACAAGATAGTTTCCCTTGTGGGGTTTGGAGGTTTGGGGAAAACAACTCTTGCTAATGTGGTGTATGAAAAACTTAGGCCGCAGTTTGATTGCTCGGCGTTTGTATCAGTGTCTCAGACTCCTGATATGGTTAAACTATTCAAGGATATCTTCTATAAACTTGACAAGGAAAAGTTCGAGAAACTTGCCATTTACAATGTTGCAAGTGTTGATGTTATTAACAATGAATTAAGAAAATTTCTTCGGCAGAAGAGGTATGAACACTTCACAAAAATTTCTGATATTCCTCTTTCTCTAGCCTCTGGTACTCTAGACCTTCTATCTCTTCTCATGTATTGATGTTGTACAAGCGAAAATCCATCTAGTGGAAACTGAATCTACACTACTGGAAACAGAGACTTTGCCGAGTGTAAAATTCTTTGCCGAGTGTCAAAAATCAGACACTCGGCAAAGATCTTCTTTGCCGAGTGCTACACTCGGCAAAAAATTGCACTCGGCAAATATTTCTTTGCCGAGTGCCGGGCACTCGGCAAACATGGGCACTCGGCAAAGGACTTCTTTGCCGAGTGCCAAACTCTCGGCAAAATCTCTCCACTCGGCATAGGCTGCCCGCGAAACGGCGCCCTGCCACGGCCTTCTTTGCCGAGCGCCTGCGGTTAGGCACTCGGCAAAGATTTGTTTTTTTTGTTTTTAATTTCTTTGCCGAGTGCCTCAGATCTGGCACTCGGCAAAGATTTAAATTTTTTTAATTCTTTGCCGAGCGTCTCAGATCTGGCGCTCGGCAAATAATTTTTTTTATTTTTAAAATACTTTGCCGAGTGCCCCCTGGACGACACTTGGCAAAGATTTAATTTTTTTATTATTTCTTTGCCGAGTGCTCCTGTGGATGCACTCGGCAAAGAGGAAATTTTAAAAAAAAAAATTAAAACATTCTTTGCCAAGTGCCTGATGGCTGGCACTCGGCAAAGACACCCTTTGCCGAGTGCCATGCCCCGGCACTCGGCAAAGTTTTTTTGTTTTTTTTGTTTTTTGGCCTCCAATTTTTTTGTGCAGCCTTTTTAAAGCACCAGGAACTCCTAGTTACAATTTGGGGATTTTTTGTGGCTTTTTGTTATATTTAGTTACTTTATTTCGTTTACTTGATTTTTTCCAGAAATTAGAAATTTGAACTGCACGTGGTACGAATAATGGAGTTTAATGATTCAAAAATTGATAGTCATGTTAGTGAGTGTTATGAGAGGCCGTATCCAGGAACGGACCCGAAATTTCGGACATCTTGTTCACGAAACATGTCCGCGAAATTGCGTGTGAAGTGTTTATAAATTCTATAAAAAGCAAACGAAGTCCGAAAATCATGAAACTTGTTGAGATGTCGTGATATCATATGTGGAGGCTATGATAAAAATTTCAGAAGATTTCGTGCATGTTGTCACGTACGATGCTTACAAACCAGGACATCTCCACATGTGATATTTTTTTGTAAATAACAGTATTTTGTTCCATTTTTGTAGAGAAGAGCCCGTTAGAGTTGAGTCGGAGTTCTCGCCACCGTGTCGGTCTGCCTGCACCGCGTCGTCTCGCCACTGCACCGACCCGCCACGGCCCCACTAGCCTGACTCCGTCGCCACCCTAGGTATAACTCCTCTTTTCGTATCATTGTCGTAGATCGCGTAACCCAGTTAGGCGTCTCCCGTTCGAAAGAGATACGATTGGAGGTATGCAGATCTTTGCATATTTATGACCGTATCTATTTCGGATTGTCCACGCTTTTTGGACAGCCCGTGGATGCGTAGATGGGTTAGTTTCCATGTTCTGCTCTAGTTCGAGACAGAGTTTCGGCATCACCTCCCTGTTGTTCTCCAGATACACACTCTTCTTTGGCAGGACGTGTATCTGGAGAACAACGGGGAGGTGCTACCGAAATTCTGTCTCGGATAGGAGTAGAGCATAGAAACTAACCTCATCTACACATCTGCGGGTGGGATTATGACCTATCCTCACCTATTAGACAGTAGGAACACCATATAGATGCAATTAATGGTTACATTACTCGCCGATACATATGTTAGAGGATGGATGACCGTCAGTGGATGTACACGGGCTGGAGAAGTCAGAGTGATTACACCACGGAATGGATGAACAAGACCGATGCTTTCTTGAACAGTGCATTTGGCAACGCTGCTAAAGGACATTGCCTAGTTTTGTGTCCCTGCAGCAAATGTGGAAACAGGAGAAGGGTAAACAAGGTGGAAATGGGTAAACATCTTGTGTAGAATGGATTTACGCCGGACTACACCCGGTGGGTCCACCATGGTGAAGCCCATCGTATGAGAGAGGAGGTGGTGAGACCATGGGTGGAGGCTTTTGATGCTGATGCCGGGGTAGCAGACATGTTAGATGACTTTCACCAAGGACAGTTCGATGAGGGACGTGAGAAGGAGGAGATGGAAGCAGCCGCACAGGCGTTCTACGATATGATGGACTCGGCACAGAAACCCCTTCACGATCGGTCAACGGTGTCTCAACTGGATGCCATTGGATGCTTAATGGGGTTGAAGTCCGAGTTAAACTTAAGTCGACCTGGCTTTGATAAGATGTTGGCCGTGATTGGCACCTTGCTTCCGGAGGGCCACATTCTGCCGAAGAGCATGTACGAGTCACAGAAACTCCTTCGAGCACTTAAGATGCCGTATGAGCGAGATACATGCTTGTCCGAAGGGTGCCTCCTATTTAGGAAAGAACACGAGCATGCAAAGTTACATCCAAAGTGTAAATCCTCCGGTACACCGGAGGTAGACTCTGATGATGGCCAGAAGAGGCAACTTACGATCCCCATGAAAATCCTACGGTACCTTTCCGTTCCTACCGAGGATCCAACGGCTATACATGACCGAGGAATCCATGAAACAGATGACATGGCACAAAATGGCAAGCGGTACAATCTTGACAAGATGGTACATCCATCCGATGGTGAAGCTTGGATCCGCTTTAATGACAAACATCGTGACAAAGCAGGTGAGGCTCGTAATATGCGTGTCGCGTTGGCAACAGATGGGTTCAATCCTTATGGAATGATGGCTGCCCCATACACATGTTGGCCCGTCTTTGTTATCCCCTTAATCTCCCCGGTGTCTCCTTTCAACGACATAGCGTATTCTTGTCGTTGATAATTCCCGACACCCGTGGAGTAATATGGGTGTGTTCATGGAGCCCGTGTTTGATGAATTGGTCCGTGCTTGGGATGAAGGGGTATGGACATACGATCGAGCTACAAAGACAACCTTCAAAATGCACGTTTGGTACCACTACTCCTCGCATGACTTCCTGGTATATGGGATATTCTGCGCTGGTGTGTTCACGGAAGTTCCCATGCCCAATATGCAAGGAAGGTGTGAGGTTTATTTGGTTGCGGAAGGGTGGCAAGTATTCGCTGTTTGATAGACATCGTCAATTCCTACCTCTTGACCATCCATTCGACAAGACATCAAGAACTTTCTGAAAGGCGTCAAAGTGACAAACCCTGACCATGGATGATGAATGGTGCCGAGGTTCATGCTCAAATAGGTGCTCTCGTGCCCAATGAAGAAGGTGGTTTTGTGGGATATGGTGAGCAGCATATGTGGACTCATATCTCGGGCATGACGAGGCTCCCCTATTTCGATGACCTTCTTCTACCACATAATATTGATGTAATGCACACTGAAAAGAATGTCGCCGAGGCACTTTGGGCAACACTCATGGACACTGAAAAGTCTAAGGACAACCCAAAGGCTAGAGTAGACCTGGCAACATTGTGCGATAGACCAAATCAAGAGATGCAACCTCCTAGTCGTGGCAAGACCTGGAGAAGGCCTAAGGCTGATTTCGTCTTGAAAAAGGACCAAAGGAGGGAAGTACTTGAATGGATCAAGAAGCTAATGTTCCCTGATGGGTATGCAGCGAATCTAAAGAGGGGAGTTAACTTAGGCACTCTGCGAGTCAATGGGATGAAGAGTCATGACTACCACATATGGATTGAGCGGCTTCTTCCGGCGATGGTTCGAGGCTATGTCCCGGAGCATGTCTGGCAAGTGCTGGCAGAGTTGAGCTACTTATTCCGCCAGCTTTGTGCCAAGGAGCTCTCTCGGACCGTCATTGATGACTTGGAAAAAGCGGCACCCGTGTTGCTCTGTAAGTTAGAGAAGATCTTTCCACCCGCCTGCTTCTTGTCGATGCAGCATTTGATTGTGCACCTCCCGTATGAGGCACGGATGGGGGGCCCGTGCAGAACCGTTGGTGCTATCCAATCGAGAGATGTCTGAAGACTCTTCGCAAAAAATGTAGAAATAAAGCCAGAATTGAGGCTTCCATTGCAGAGGCATACATTCTAGAGGAGGTGTCGAACTTCACAGAGAAATACTACACTGAGAAACTTCCTAACGTTCATAATCCACCCCCTCGTTACAATGCTGGCGAAAATGAATCGAACCTCAGCCTTTTCCAAGGGCAACTTGGAAGCGCAAGTGCATCGACCACTAAGCAATTGAAAAATGAAGAGTGGCGCAGTATCATGCTATATGTGTTGACCAACCTTGTCGAGGTGCAACCGTTCATTCGGTAAGTTCTAAACGAACTTGTTTCATTTCGCTGTATGTCCTTGTTTCGTCGTCCAACCCCCTTGTTTCTCGTTGGTACAGGGGGAATTTCTTCGTCAATCCTGGCATGGATCAAGGCAACCTACCCGCAAGAAAATGATACCCTTCTTTCACGGGGTGCGGGACCAGGGAGCCCCAATTTCATTTGTTGGTTCAAACAGAAAGCCCAAACTGATGCGCCTATAAGTGATGAGTTAAGACAGGTTGCAAATGGCTGTGCCATTAGGGTCAAGTCATTTACCGTTATGACGTGAATGGATATCGTTTTCACACACGACAAGCTACTGAAAGCGTAGTCGGCCCAATCGACAAACCACAAACAATGGAGTTATTACGCAAGACCGATGGACTCGACTATTATGGAAGAATTGAAGAAATCTACGAACTATCATTTTATGGTTCCAAACCTCTTACTCTGTCATATTCAAATGCCACTTTGTTTCATCTCGGTGTAACGAGACGAACCCCTAAGCTTGGGCTAGTCGAGATTGACGAGATTCCGCTATCCGGAAAAGATGTCTACATTGTGGCTCAACAGGCCGTCCAGGTTTATTATACGTCATACGCGTGCAAAGACGCCGAGCATCTTAAGGGTTGGTCTATTGTGCACAAGGTATCGCCACACGGTAAACTACCTGTCCCAAACGATGAAGATTATAACTTCAACCCAAACACATATGATGGAGAGTTCTATCAAGAAGATGGACTACAAGGGAGGTTTGACATAGACTTAACCGAAGAGATAGGAATGGAAGTAGATAATGAAAGGGATGATGACGAGGACGCTGGAGACGAGGTGCGAAATCTGAAGGACATACAAATGCTTGAGCGATTACATTTCGGCAATGACAATGAAGACAACATTCCTCCTTCGGATAGTGTTGATGAGTTGGACAATGTTGATAGTGATGACGAGACCTATGATCCAGCTAATTTCAATCATGAAGATTATTTCTAATACATGTAATACTATGTTTTTTGTAATTATGTTTTGTTCATTTTTGCATATATTTCTAATACATGTAATACTATGTTTTTTGTAATTATGTTTTGTTTATTTTTGCACCTATTTCTAATTACGTCTTGTTTTTCTTTTTTATTGCAGGTGATTGAGCAAAGATGGCGGGCGACCGTCATAGGTCTGTGAACTCGATTTACCAAAGACCACGCCGGTCGCAGGAGGGGGCGGAGGGGGCGGCAGAGGGATCGAACAGGAGGAGGAGGACCGCTAGCCGTAGGAGGGGGCCGTCTCCTCCCACGCCACGTGAGGAGGACCGCCAGCCGCAAGAGGAGGTGGCGCCCGTGGACGAGTCAGACGAGGAGTTGGTTCGGCAGACGGAGGAGGAGGAGGAGGTGGAGGAGGAGGAGGGGGGGAGGCGGCAGGCACGGGTTCCGCTTCCTCCAACTCCTCTTCGAGTGTCTACTTGCGAGGTCCCGCGAGCCTCCCACAGGTTCCGCTTCCTCACCAACGCCCAGTGATTCGCCCCGAAGGACAAAAGTAAGTAATTGTATATGTTATCACCACTACTTCATATGATATGATGAAAAAACTAATAATTTTCTTAATTACTTGTGCAGAAACCGGGTGGTTGTGTCGGGTGGTAGCGCACGGCTAGTCAACGGCATCCTGGGTCTTCAGGCGAGCAGCACTTCCCGGCATTGTCACGTGCGCATCGAAGACAGAGCCGGCCTACTGCTTGACCACTACGCCGTCGCCTCGATCTGCGAGTACCCCAACAAGGCGGCGGCGTGAAGGCAGAGTTTTGGGTAAGTCTCCCTTGCACAACATTGCTCAATACGTCGCATTCATTAGACTTTTCTTGAAATAATGAATCGATACATCGCTTTTGTATGCGGACTTATTACGAGATGCGAGGAGGGATTTGAGGCCGTATGAGCGGCGACTACCAAAGCCTGTAAAAAACTCACATCGACATGCATCACGAGGTGCGCATCCAGTGCCATCGTAACCTACTACGGGTCAAGCTTGGAGAGGAAACCAAGAAAGACGCAAGAGAGATCATGCAATGACCCGGGAGCAAGTACTTTGAGGTAAATGAAGAACATCAACATTGATTCGATTTGAGATTAAGTTGGTTTAATTTGATCTTCTTATATGTCCAATACTTGATGACGTGTAGGTGATTCCCCGGTGGTGCCAAGCGTATCCCGAGTCTTTGGCGATGATGGTGGATGTGGTTCACGGAGGAGTACCTCAAGATGCACAGGGATGCCCGGGATCGTCGTTCTTGATGCAAGGTCCAGCACACCATCAAGGCAGCCGCAACCTCGCCGGATACAAACAAGCATGGGTACGCGAATTGATTTATCTATTGTTACGCTTCGATTACGTCGATTTCTAATCATCGTCTTTGTCTTTCTCGCGATCGGCGTCACATAGTGGCGAGCTTGCTCGGACTTCCGTGCATGGTGTATGGCCCACAAGGGTAAGGCGACGTCCGACGTCTCCTTCAACTCGGAGGACCCGCCCCGAGGCATACACACGAACCCAAGCGTCCACTCCGCGCATCGGTGAGTACACTTTGGTGGCGAGGTCGCTCCATGGGGCGTAACCACGATCCGAGCACCCGGAGGACTTCGATGGAGAGGCCGTCATGAGGGCGGGGCAAGGCAAGAAGCATGGACGGTTCTTGGCTTGGCGGCGGCGTCATCGACACGGCCTCTACTCCCTCTCTCTCCCAGATCTCGAAAGCACGGAGCACGAGCGCGAGAGCCCGCCATTCAAGACACGGCCGACACGCAGACAAAGACCGGTCGACACACTCGAGGTTATTCTGTTTTACTCGTCATACATTGATCTTTACACACCTTAATTAGCTTTGCATTATCAAACATTGGGTGAAATATTGCAGGCCCGGCCGAACAAGAAATGAAGGAACGTCAGGGGCTGGGGGCCCAGTTGGAGGCCGAGCGGCAGGCCCAGGCGCAGAGGCTGATGGACATTACGGATTTCCTACAAGGGCTTGGGCAACGTATGGGCTTTTCTCTGCCACCTGGGCTGTTGGTTCCACCTCCGCCTCCGCGTCCTGCAGCTGTAGCTACTCCTATGAGTATCAAAGTTTTTTACTTTCACTTGTGCTTTGCTTGTATGGCCTCTATCGTCCTAGATTAGCTATCAAAATAATCTTGTCTCACATGCAATCTTTTCTCCTTTGTGCAGTCTCCATCTGATGGTGGTTCGAATAATCCACCTCATGCACCTACGAATGATGCATCTGGGCCTTCACCACAGTCGCAGTGGCCGAGATGAGTGCATGTTGTATTTTTTACATTTGTTGTTCACTTGGTGATGGACTTGTGATGCACTTGTGGACTTTGATGGACTTGTAAACTTATTTGGATGAACTTGAGCACTTATTATTATATATTGTGATGGATGTGATATGGGTGGATGGATGTGTGGATGGATGAGATATATATGTGATGGATGAGATATATATGCGATGGATGAGATATATATGTGATGGATGAGATATATATGTGATATATGTTTGTATGAATATATTTGTCATGATGGAATGCAAAAAAAAAATATTTGCCGTTTTGGGTCACTTTGCCGAGTGTTGCACTTGGCAAAGGACCCCTTTGTCGAGCGCAATGGTCACAACGCTCGGCAAAGCTGGCAAAATGGGCGACCAGAAAACAGATTTTCTAGCTTTGCCGAGTGCTGTGACTCTAACACTCGGCAAAGAATTTTTTTTTTAAAAAAAATTTAAACTTTGTCGAGTGCCTGCCGTGTTGGCACTCGGCAAAGAGTTTAAAAAAAAATCTTTGCCGAGTGCCTGGAGTGGTGGCACTCGGCAAAGAAAATTTCCAAAAAAAATAAAAGCTCTTTGCCGAGTGCCTTCCGGGTTGACGCTCGGCAAAGAATTTTTCAAAAAAAAATAAAAAATATTTGCCGAGTGCCTGGAGGTTTGGCACTCGGCAAAGAAGATTTTCAAAAAAAAATAAAAAATAAAAGCTCTTTGCCGAGTGCCTCACGGGTTGGCACTCGGCAAAGAAAGTTTTAAAAAAAATTTAAAAAAATCTTTGCCGAGTGCCGGCAGGGTTGACACTCGGCAAAGTGACCGTCAACGGGACCGGCGCCGTGACGGTCGCTTTTCTTTGCCGAGTGTTTCCGGGGCACTCGGCAAAGCCTTTGCCGAGTGCCCGATAAAATACACTCGGCAAAGAGTGCTTTGCCGATCAATTTTTTGCCGTGTGTGCTTTGCCGAGTGCCGCACTCGGCAAAGGCTTTGCCGAGTGCAATATAGCCTTTGCTGAGTGCCTCAGGCACTCGGCAAAGAACCTGAATCCAGTAGTGCTAGTTTGGATTACGCACAACAAAGATTTTGAGTGAAACTTGTGAAACATTTGTTACACCTAGTTAGCTTTATTTTGAGGAAAACCAGACGCTTTGTTGACTATGATAATAATTATCAGCATAGAAAGAATCTGAGAAAAGGTATGTATGTATCTTGAAAAGTAGCTAGCTATCAATTTATTTAACGGATTTTTTGTTTAGAAATGGCATTGTACTCAAAATCAAAGATCTTGAAGACTTTAAAACATAGAGCATATTCAATCCACACTCAAGTTTATCTCTTTTTCTTTATTTTAATTTTCCATACCATCTCTTTTACTGGGTTTTGCTTCCAAGTTTATATCTTTTGCACACTCAAGTTTATCTAGTCTTTGATTCAGTAGAGCTCTTTTCTCTGTCCGTATCACATCTGCAGATGCACAAAAAAGACTTTTGACTGAAGCAGATAGTGAAACTTTTTTAGAGTAATTGGTTAACTCTATGCTAGCAAAATCAGAATTAAGCTTTAATTTGGTGGGGCATAGCTAAGGAAAAAAACAGCTAATAAAAAACTCATTACTATTCGAAAATGTCTACTTCCAATTGCATAGATTTTATTTTTTGAACAGCTACAGAACTAGCATCAAAATGATTTCAAAAATAGGATTGCCGAAACATTAGAAATTTTTTTAAGGATTAGCCTAATATAATTTGATTCTTTGAAGTAATATATAGTAACTTTTAAGTGATCTTGATTCTCAAGTAATACCTTGCATGTTTGTAAGCGAAAAATAGAACAGAAAAGAGAATAATTTAAAAGCCAGGATATTATTGAGCTACTATTTACTGTCATGTCGAGTCTCTTGCTTTGTATTGATCATGTATGTGCAGAAGACATGCAAAGGCCCTTGCTGATGATTAATACAAACCCTTTATTTATCCGTCAATTACATGACGTGACATAGCATGCAGAATGTCTATAAGAAAGATTAGAATGTTTCTTCCTCAATTTGTGAAGTGACATGTGGCCTTCTGTTCATCAATTTGTGCAGGTACTTGGTTATTATTGATGACATATGGGAAATCTCAGATTGGAAAACGATCAGATGTGCTCTGCCCGATGACAGTGTTGAATATAGGATCATCACAACTACTCGTATTTGGAGAACTCTAGAATATTAATGTATGGAAGAATATTTGGCAAAGAAGACAAAGACAAGTGCCGAGACGAAGAGCTAGAAGAAGTATCAAATAGAATACTAAAAAAATGCGATGGTGTTCCATTGGCTATTATCACGATTGCTAGTTTTCTGGCTAGTAAATGAAGTAACAAATTAGAGTGGTATGATGCGTACAAATCTATTGGTGATGGGCTAGAGAAGGACAATAATGTAGAGAATATGAGAAAGGTTTTGTCACTCAGCTATTACAATATGCCATCACATCTAAGGACTTGCTTGTTATATTTAAGTATGTTTCCAGAAGATTATGATATCAGAAAAGATCGTTTGATTTGGTTGTGGATAGCCGAAGGTTTTATCCAACCTGAAAAGCAAGACAAGAGCTTATTTGAAATAGGGGAGAATTACCTTAATGAGCTCATAAATTTAAGCATGATCCAACCCAGGCATGACAAAAGCACTGGCATGATAGAATCTTGCCGTGTACATGATATGGTGCTTGATCTTATATGTTCCTTGTCAAGAGAAGAAAACTTTGTTACTGTACAAATCAATATGGTTCACTCATCTGCATCAAAAAAGCTTCGAAGGCTATCACTTCAAAATGGCAAGGCCAGTCATGGTAAACTTGAGGCTATGCTGAGCAAAGAGCGTGCTGTGAGGTCAGTTATTCTCTTTCAATCCGTTATTGATAACATACCAACGGTACTTGAGAACTTCAGCATTTTGCGTGTACTAGATTTAGAAGGATGTGATCTTTCACAAGGCTACAGCCTCAAGTATCTTGGTAATTTGCTTCATTTGAGGTACCTAAGTTTAAGAGATACAAGGATTGATGAGCTCCCCGAGGAAATCGGAAACCTACAATTTCTACAAATGCTAGATATATACACAGAGGGGAAAGCAATTCATAGTTTGCCGTCGGCTATTGTTCAGCTAACGCAATTGATGTGCCTACGCATAAATATTTGGATGACAGTGATAGAAGGGATTGGGAGCTTGATAGCCCTTGAAGAGCTTTCGTGTCTGCGCATCAGCTATGAAAAGAAGAAGATGCTAGAAGAGCTTGGCCAACTAACAGAGCTGAAGGTGCTTGATCTTGAGATCATCACCGCCGATTTCATCAGTGGATCCCTGTTGGAGAGCGTCGACGACCTGGACAAATCCGTGGTGGAGTGCCTCAACAAGCTCCAGAAAATCCACAGTCTAGTTATCTGATATGGAATGCAACTTGGATGGTTGGGTCGTCACCGCCACTGAAAACCTCTGCAGATTGAAAGCATGGGGCTCTTGCTGGTTTATTACGCTGCCAGCTTGGTTGATGGTGAATCCATCCCGCCTTGTGAGCCTCTCGTCACTCGATATCGCAGTGAAGCGGCTGCAGCAGGAGGATCTTGAAATCCTAGGGAGGTTGCCTGCTCTCGGCTATCTAGATCTGAGAGTGGGCCATAAGGATCTAGGGATCATCCATGGGAGATTTCTTGTTGGTGCTCGCTCGTTCCCATGGCTGGTCCACTGCCTGTTGTTGGGATTTGGAGAGCCTATGGTGTTTCAGCAAGGGGCCATGCCAAGGCTCGTGGATCTCTCGTTTGACTTCCCAGTGCAGCGGACGAGAGAAATTATCAATGGCAGTTTCGACCTGGGATTGGGGAACCTGCCGTCGCTGCAGGATGTCTGGGTTAATGTTCGGCCTCGAGGTGCCAGCATGGAGGAGGTGAGGGAAGCAAAGGCTGCGTTGAGGCACGTGATTGAAGTCGTGCATCCCAATCATCCTACCCTTCACATATGAGCAAATGATCGAGGATGTAAGTAGGTGCTGCTTGTTCTACTTCTTCCTTACTCGCTTATTATATCCGTTGCCCCACTTTCTTGTAACCTTAAATGCATGTTGCCGACCAGAGGTGTGAATGGGAGCCTCACAAAAATTCGCGGAAGCACTTTGAGTACAAAAATGTCGTTTACTGTTCCTAGAAAGTGACCTCACCTTCCCTGGTGCATGCGTGAGTGATGTTTCTAGAAGCAATATTAATGTGTAATATTGAAAGTGCTAATGAGAAGGAAATTTGCAAAGCAGAGACACGACCTGCAAGTCTCTTCGATTCGCATGATACTAGGAGGGGTCACCTGCAGGCGCATGCGTGCGCTGTTCGGAAGCAGAACGGCTGTTCCTGGCCGGTCACCTCCCTTGGACGGGGCACACACAGCAAAATCCAGAGACGTGCGCTTCAGTAGAGCAGGCAGCGTTCGGACTAATCGTACGAGCTCATCGGCGGCCGGCCCTGGTGCGACGCTGCGAGCCGTGGCTGACCGCCAGGCGCAGACCTTGTCCTCCCGCAACGATGCGTCCCTGAACAGCAAAAAAGAACAACCAAACCGGCGGCGCAAACAACGAAAACAAAGGGAACGGAGGAAAATCGGATCTCGCACGAACAAAGAACAAATCACAAGGACGAATGATTAAAGTGTAATTATTCTACAAAAGTGCATCTAGCCTCCGCCCGATCGTCCTCCCTCTCTTAATTGGAGAGATCAACAAAAATCCCTCGCTAGGATTAAAACCCTAGGCTAGACCAAAAAGCGAGAGAGCAAGAGCGCCCTCTCAACCCTAGGTGCCACATATTTATATCCTTAGGGTGGCACGACCTATTTACACATAACCCCCTACGCTAAATAAATCTAACGTAGGGGTGTAAATTCCAATTACGTCCTCCATGGTAAATTCCGCGATGTCCGCAATCCCTCCATCTCTACGACATGATCTTGGCGATGTCGCCAGCGACGGCCATCCAAATCGTATCGCGATCGTCGAATTTCCATCTTCGCCAACGCCGCCCGCTTGCGGGCGTCGATGCGACGATGCATGGCTTTGTGGCTCAACCAGCGAACCCCGATTTTGTGGCATAATCCGAAACCTCCTCGACGTCCTCCCCCCGTGTGGCCAGTGCATGAGACGACACCGCACGATCGCTTTGTCCCTCGAACGCAAGCCTCGATCCGCCCTTCTCCGCCCCCGCGGTTTTTCGACGCGGCATCCTATCTTCGTTCTTCACTCGTCGCCGCATGTACCTTGTCTCCACCTGTCACCTGCAACCACAACCTGCCAAGAGACACGTCACACGCACACCGTGTTGTCAATCGCTCATCACCAAGGTGCTAGCCCACCGGCATCTCAATCTCCCCCTTGATGAGTGCATTGACAACACCACACCGCACAAATTTATTCGTACTGAAAAAGAAAAATAAAAAGAAAGAAAAAGAAACGATCTTAATCCCCAAAGACATGGGCTAGCGAAAAAGCTAGGCTCGACACAATCAAGACAGAAATTCACTCTCCCCAAAGTGAATCAAAAGCCATATCAATCTCCCAAAAGCAATCTCAGCAGCAAAACTCACAAATTTGAGCAAAACTCCCCCTCAACCCCTCAAAACAAGCATGCCAAGTCTCAGCAAAAACGAAATCAAACTCCCCCTGCAAGAATGAACGAACTCCCCCTGCAAGAATGAATTTGTGCGCTACTCACTCTCCCCCTTGTTGACAAAGCACTCCATCAAGATAAAATGCAAGGAACCAATTTAGAGAAAAGCATGTGAGAAAGCACAAGTTGAAGCTTCTGAGACATATGCCAAATACTTATAAAAGCTAACCAACAATACTAGCTATCCAGAGAAGGAACAATACAATGCCATGACCAATAAAAATTTAGAACTGAAATCTGTTTGAAAACTAATGTGCCAGGCAAAAACATGCACATTCCAAACTCAGTGCAAAGCTGAAGACAAAACATATAGCGAGCTCACACGACAGATACACAGCTTCAGTCAAAGTTCACTGCAACGCCCACAAATGCATTCACTTGTCATATTTAATTCTGACTTTTGTGAGCATGATAAGCAGGGATATGGGAAGCAAGAGTTGTGCCCAGCCAGTTTGTTTAATTTTGTTTATGAGCGAGAACCAGCAGGGACATGGGAAAAACAGAGTTGCGCCCATATTTAAATTCTCAGTAAGGCAAGCAGATCATGAGCTAAATAGCAGAGATATGGGAATTCAGAGTTTTTGCTCACAACCATACTATGCACTCCCGAGTTAAAACTTGTATTGTGAGTTACATTTGCAGTGAAAACCCATTAAAAGAAGCTGACTACCGAACCATGAGCAAGATATATGTCAAGTATTCAACAAGTCACTAGATCCAGAAAAGCAAGCATAGCCCAACATAATTTTTTAAGTATATATCTGTGCTGTTTTCAAAATAAAAATTGGTCAAGCAAAGCATTCAAACCTCTCCAAAAGCATCGATTGCAAACTAGCCAAAACAAGTATAAAGCATATGTAACTGAAGCAACTTACAATGATACTAGAATGGGTAACACACCCCGAACTCACCACGCAGACGTGCAAACGTGGTTTGATCTAGTGGCTTAGTCAAAATATCAGCAAGTTGCTGACTAGTATCAATATGCTTAAGATCAATATCACCCTTTTCAAAATGATCCCTCAGAAAATGATGACGAACCTCAATGTGTTTCGTCTTAGAGTGAAGCACAGGATTCTTTGCAACACTTATAGCGCTAGTGCTGTCACACAAGAGAGGAACGCGAGAAAACGACAAACCAAAATCGCGAAGGGTAGCTATCATCCATAAAAGCTGAGAACAACAACTAGCAGCAGCAACATACTCAGCCTCTGTAGTAGATTGAGCAACATTAGATTGTTTTCTAGAGGACCAAGAAACAAGCGAAGAACCCAAAAATTGGCAAGTACCCGATGTAGACTTTCTATCCAAATCAGCATCCGAATAACCACACAAACTGAGAGTCGAAGCAGCAGAGTACCAAAGGCTAAATGCAGGAGTAAATCGAAGATACCTCATTATGCGCTTCACCGCCTGACGGTGAGAAGTCCTGGGGGACGCCTGAAAACGAGCACACATACACACAGCAAAGTGTATATCTGGCCTCGTAGCAGTCAAGTATAGCAGCGACCCAATCATGCTTCGATATTCCTTCTGATCTACAGGCTCTCCGTCCTTATCAGCATCCAAAGCAAACTTCTTCAGGACATCCTTCGTGTACTTTCCCTGATGCACAAATGTACCTTACGAAGTTTGTTTTATTTGTAAGCCAAGAAAGAAATTCAGCTCGCCCATCATAGACATCTCAAATTCTTTGCTCATCACATCTGCAAACTTTTTCACAAGAGCATGAGAGGAACCACCGAAAATGATATCATCCACATAAATCTAAACTATTAAAGTGTCATTGCCTTGCCTGAGGAGAAAAAGAGTTTTATCAACTGAACCCATTTTGAACCCGTTTTTAAGCAGAAAAGTTTTCAATCTAGCATACCAAGCACGAGGTGCTTGCTTCAAACCATATAAAGCCTTTTGCAACTTAAGAACTCGATCAGGAAAATTGGGATGTTCAAAACCAGGCGGTTGTTTAACATAAACTTCTTCTATAAAACCGTTCAGAAAAGCACTTTTCACGTCCATTTGATAAAGCTTATAACCACGTGAAGCAGCAAATGCAAGCAAAATACGAATGGCTTCTAAACGAGCAACAGGAGCAAAAGTTTCACCATAATCAATACCCTCTTTTTGAGAAAAGCCCTGAGCAACCAGCCTAGCTTCTTCCCCTTGTTTGTTCTTAAAGACCCATTTAGTCCCAATTGGTTTACAAGAGGGAGGAGGATCAACCAAAACCCAAACCTGATTCCGTTCAAAATTTTCTAACTCCTCATGCATGGCATTGACCCAGTTAGAATCAGATAAAGCATGTCCAACATCTCGGGGTTCAAAAGAGGCAACAAAAGCAGTATGCGCAAAGACACAATAATTTTTATTTTTCATACCTCTGTTCCTTGTCGTGCGCTCATCCAAATTACCTATTATGTTCCTTGCAGGATGACGATTCTGAATGTGTCGTGGTGTTGTATGTTCTGAAATCGCCTCCCCCTCAACTGCAGCCTGATCAACAGTCGGTGAAGCTGCAGGCGCTGCTGTAGATGTACGTGTCGGCGACGGTCCATCCTCCAAAGTGGTGGAGGGCGCCTGCTCAGACTGGGCGCCAGGCTCCCCCTGCATCGCAGGCTGGGCGTCATCGTCGTCGTCGTCGTTGCATCCATCTTCCTCTTTCTCATCCTCAAAAATATCCTGCCCGATCTCATCATCACCTGCACACTCAAAAGCAGAAGAAAAACAAGGCATTGTCTCGTCGAAGGTGACCTCACATGTCTCCTCGATGCGGTTAGTATCAAGATTAAGCACACAGTACGCTCGCCCTTGCAAGGCATACCCCAAAAATAACCCATCAGAAGAACGCGATTCAAATTTATCCAAATTTCCCTTTTTCAATATAAAACACTTGCAGCCAAAGACTCGAAAGTGGAAAACTTTGGGAGGTCGACCAAATCTCAACTCATAAGATGTTTTTCCTAGAAAAGCTCTCAGAAAAATGAGATTAGCAACATAGCAAGCGGTGTTGATCGCCTCAGCCCAAAAACGTCTAGGAGTTTTATGTTCATCAAGCATTGTCCTAGCCATCTCAACAAGCGTACAATTTTTACGCTCAACAACACCGTTCTGGGAAGGAACGTAAGGTGAGGAAAACTGATGATCTAAACCTTGTTCTGAACAAAAAGCTTTCATACGAGAATTCTTGAATTCCGTACCGTTGTCACTGCGAATTGCTCTAACGGCATTATTTGACAACTCGTTTTTCAGCTTCAGAACAAGATCATGAACATGTGAAAAAGCCTCATCCTTAGATTCCAAAAAGAACACCCAT